GGGCACAGCCCCGGAGCTCCCCTCCCTGGGATTGTTGGGGTGTCTGTGCAGGGCCAGGAGCTGCATCTGGGATCCCTGTGCTCCCTTCCAGCTCGGGATGTTCCATGACCCTTTGATAATTGCTGGGCTTTTGTGCCTTGCAGCAACAGGACAAGACCTCATCCAACCTGCACGAGGCCGCGTCTGACTGCGTGTGCTCGGCCCTCTACGCCATCGAGAACGTGGAGACCAACCTGCCCCTGGCCCTGCAGCTCTTCCAGGGCGTGCTCACCCTCGAGAGTGCCTACCACATGGCTGTGGCACGGGAGGACCTGGACAAGTGAGGGACAGGGACCTTGCTGTGGCCGGGAGGGATGGGCAGGACAGCGCTGACCTGCTGGTGCCATGTCAGCCTCCAAAGGGAGATAGCAGTGCCAGAGCATCAGCAGTGCTGGGCAGTGCCTGTCCCTGTGCTGGGCACTCGTGGGGTCACACCCAAGTCCTGGGGGCAGGTCTGGGCCCCTCACTGCAAGAGACCTGGGGAAGCCAGGGGCTGGGCTGGACTGGAACTGTGCCCTCACTGGGCTTTTGGAGAAGTTTGAGATCACTATTTCAGCAGATTTGCTTATTGGAGTGCAGTGTTTGCACCCACTTCCCCTGCTGGGGTGTCTCCCAGCTGGTGGCAAAGCAGAAGTTGGGGCTTCTCACTCTGCCCAAGGCCCTGGGCACATTTTGGCCCAGCCATGTCCAGCATGGGGTAAAGTCTGTGAGGCTGATCCAACCCCTGTCCCCCTGTCCCTCTGCACTGGGGTAAATCCTGTGAGGCTGATCCAATCCCTGTCCCCTTGTCCCCCTGTCCCCTTGTCCCTCTGCATTGGGATAAAGCTCCTGAGGCTGATCCAGCCCCTGTCCCTCTGCACTGGGGTAAAGCCCATGAGGCTGATCCAGCCCCTGTCCCCTTGTCCCTCTGCATTGGGATAAAGCTCCTGAGGCTGATGCAGCCCCTGTCCCCCTGTCCCTCCGCAGGGTGCTCAACTACTGCCGTGTGTTCACCGAGCTGTGCGAGACGTTCCTGGACAAGATCGTGTGCACGCCGGGCCAGGGCCTGGGCGACCTGCGCACGCTGGAGCTGCTGNTTGGGCTGGAAAAGCCCTCAGAGCCCGCGTGTCAAACCATTCCCAGCACTGCCAGGGCCACCGCTGGCCGTGTCCCCGAGTGCCACTGCCACACGGCTCTGAAATCCCAACAGGGATGGAGACTCCAAACCTCCCTGGACAGCTGTGCCAGGGATGGACAGCCCTTTCCAGGAAGGAATTTTTCCAGTATCCAACCTGAGCCTCTCCTGGCACAGCTCAAGGCTGCTTCCCCTTATCCTGTGTCAGGAGATGGGGCTGAGCTGTGCCCCCTGCCCAGCAGCTCAGGTGCTGCTGGAGAAGCCTCTTGCCCCGTTCCATGTGTATCCCAGCAGAGTTCCCTGCCAGTGCCACTGCAGCCGTCAGGGCAGCCCAGCTCCACCTGTTCTGGGAGAAGTTGTCTGAGCAAGTCCTTGCTCACTCTGAAATTCCTTCACCTTCCTCGAGTCCCCTCCCAGGACCACCCTGCCCTGCCAGCCCCAGCTTTTCCGGGGACACCTGGGAGATCCTGGCTGGAGGATCAGGAGTCCCCACATTGTGCTGTCCTCTCCAGCCCCACGTTTTCCTTGGATATCCCAGCTGGCACACCAGGGGACCCCCACACTGCGCTGTCCCCTCCAGCCATGACCAGCCCCAGCTTTTCCCAGCATCCCTGGGAGATCCTGGTTGACATGCTGGGGACACAGGCAGTGTCACCTCGCTCTGGTGCTCGCAGCTGCTCAGAGCTGACACAGGATCACCAAGGGCTGGCCCTGTCCCTGCACATTCCTGCTCCCTCTGCACCTGCCTGAAGCTTTCCTGAGCTTTCCCTGTTGGTGCCAGCATGGGCATTTCCACCACCTACCTGGAGAGCCAAATTTGTATTTTCTGTGTGGGATTTAAATGCCAAATTCCCATCTTCAGTTACAAAATGCAGCATTCCAGGGACTGTGATGAGGCAGGTTGCCTTTAGGATTGAAGTGTCAAGTGAGAAGATCTCTGGACGCTCTTGTGCAAGGATTCCTGGGCCAGTCTGGGGGGTCTGGGATCTTTCTCCATGTCCTGCCTGTCCACCTCTTCCCCCTTTCCCTGTGCCAGTCGGGGCTGGCGCTTTGGGCAGGGCTCTGCTGGCCCTGGGGCACAGCTGGAGCACTGGCCAGCACTGGGAATGAGCTGCTGCCATCCCACAGCTCAGCACATCCTGGCTTGGACACCGGGGTGGCATGTTTGGAATGCCCCTTGGGGTAGGTCTGGCTCTCAGCAGCAGCCTCTCTCTGCAGAGGTGTTTTTCTGGGAGAAGGGTTAAACTGGGATTGTCAGGTGTGAGCATCCCTGATGGCTGTGCTCTGCTGGCCCAGCACGGGATCCTGCAGGAGTGGGGATGAGGGAGCTGCTCCAGCTGCTCTTCCTGCTCCTGTGGGCTCTGATCCTCCCTCTCACTGAGTCCAGGACTGTTGGTGACAGGGTGCTGGGAGCAGCCTGCCTCTGGAATGTTCTCATGGGGTCTCCAGAGGATGGTTATTTCTCATTGACCACCCACAGGAGTCACATCCTGACTGGCTGTGCCGTGTCCCTGCAGGTGACATGTGTGGAGAAGGCGGGCAATGAGGAGAAAATGCTCATCAAGATCTTCCGCTGCCTGGGCAGCTGGTTCAACCTGGGCGTCCTGGACAGCACCTTCATGGCCAACAGCAAGCTGCTGTCCCTGCTCTTCGAGGTGCTGGTGAGTGCTTCCCAGGAGCTGGGGGGGCTCCAGGGGGGACACTGGGCAGTCCCAGCAGGACTGAGGTGAGGACCATCCCTGGTCAATGTTCCACACTTGTGGAAACCTTGTCTCCATCCCCCCCAAGGACTCCCCTGCTCTCACCTCTCCTCCAGTGGGAGTGATGACTCTGTGTCCAGCCAGGTGATGAGCAGCATGGTGCTTTCCTTCCTTCCTTCCTTCCNCCACCCATGGCTGCCCTCTGGCAGTGGGAGCCATTCCCTGGGTGCTGTCCCTGCAGGCCTTGTCCCCAGTCCCCCTGCAGGCCCTGCCAGGGGCTCTCAGCTCTCCCTGGATCCTTCTCCTGTCCAGGCTGGGCATTCCCAGCTCTCCCAGCCTGGCTCCCTGGGAGCTGGGGGGCTCCAGCCCTGCAGCAGCTCCGGGGCCTCTCTGGGCTCGCCCCGGCAGGACAGGGCTGTGTGTCCATTGGGAATTTGGACTGTCTGCAGCAGCCTGACTCCCCATCAGCCCTGCCCACTGAGCACAGCCTGCCTCTCCCACAGGTCCATGCCTGGGAGATCTCGGACCAGCTGCTGCAGATCCACCAGGATGTGGAGTCCTGCTACTTCGCAGCGCAGACCATGAAGATGAAGATCCAAACTTCATTCTATGAACTCCCCACGGATTCCCACGCCTCACTCCGGGACTCTTTGTTGTCCCACATCCAGAACTTGAAGGACCTGTCCCCGGTCATTGTCACACAGGTGGGTGATGGCAGGGGGGATGGAGCTGCCCCCTCCATGTCCTGCTCCTGGCAGCCACTCTCCCTGGGCTGGACAACAGGGAAGGCTGGTCCCTGCTCCTGGCCTGCACAAGATTGATTTCCCTCCTTCATCACTTGGTTCCTTTAGTTACATCCTTGTTTGCTGTTTGGAGAGGAGGAGCAGAGGTTTTCCTGTGCTCTGCCATGGACACAAACCTGGCAATGCCCTGGGTGCTCAGGGGGATATCCTTGCACCCTTCATTCCCATTATCCATATGTTCCTGTGGCACTGGGGGGCCTGACACCCCCAGGCTGAGGCAGGGTGCTCGTGCAGCCCCTGAGTGCTGTGGCAGGGAATGTCAGCCCTCGGGGCAGCTGGTGCTCACTGCAGGGATTGTGCACAGGCAGGGATGGGGGAGGTGGATCCTGAGTTCCCACCCCATGAGCCGTGTTGGGAATGATTCCTGAATTACCTGCTGTCAGGGACGTTGGGGTGGCTTCCAGAGCTGCTGCCAGCCCTGGCTCTGGGCACATCCCAGCACTCCCCACACTGATCCGTGTGTTTCCATTGCCTTCCAGCTCGCTCTGGCAATAGCTGACCTTGCCCTGCAGATGGCTTCGTGGAAGGGCTGTGTGCAGACACTGGTGGAGAAGTGAGTGACTGTTCCTGTCTGTGGGCTGTGTCAGGCAGGCGTGGTGCAGGAAAGGGAAGTTTTTCCCCCGTGATGGCTGATTTCAGCTGCCCTGGGTGGTGGCAGGAGGGGCTGGCTGCCGTGCACGCTTCCCTGCTCACAGCCCAACACTCAGCGCTTTTCTCATCCCTGTTTTGTTAGGGACAATCCCTCTTCCCTCAGCTGTGTCTGTGCTGTGGGATGGAGCAGTGGGGCTGGGTGTCCCCAGATGTCCCCACACGCTGCTGCACAGTGACAGCAGCAGCCCCTGGGGCTGCCACCACCCTGAGTCCGTTTGCAACAGGAGGGGGTGGGATTGGTCTGGGCAGTGGCACCTGGACTCCCAGAGCTCATGGGCTGGGAAAGCTTCTGTCACTGCTCTGTTGTAAATCTGGGCTGAGCCATGCTGGAGGCTCCTCTTGGCAGGGCTGTGGCTGGACACTGCCTGTCCTTGAGGCAGGACTGGTGCCGAATCCGTGGGATGCGTGGGGTGGGAAGGGGCCTTAGAGCCCTGCCGTGGTGCGGGGTGCCCTGCAGCCCTGTGGTGCTGTTGCCAGCGCTGAGGTGTCCCCTGTGCCCGTGGCAGGTACAGCACTG